AAGAAAGCTCAGCATCTGTTCCATCTTGGAGGAACCATCTGCCCAACCCGTCTTTCGGACAAGAAACTGCGACAAGCTCGTCCCCCTCCCCCAGCGATCGTGTACTTGCCACTTCAGTGCCGCGAGAGTCACCTTGGGGTCAGCGCCAGTCATCATCTGGCAATGAAGATACAGCACCGGATATGTTTACCTTCGGGTCAGCTGGTTCCCGACCGTTTTTCGCTGAAGTACGTCGGCGTGCGCAGGGCTTACCGTCGTCTAATGATGACACGCCGGCGAATGCGGACTTGAAAAAGTCGCGCGGACCAATCTTCTCTGCACGAGGACCGTAGTACCATTGATCAAGAATATGTATATATACATTCCAGCTAAAGCTACCTATCCATCCATTTCATCCTTCCATCCATCCATCCATGCTCATTCATATGCCATCGTAAATACTCGTTTCCAGTAGAACCTTCATCGCATCCAGCATCCACTACATTAACCCCATACAGAAGCCTAGCCGCGATGAGAAGACCGCTACTAGCCATTGTCTTTGTTTGAAACTCCATTGCCCATGACGCACCATTCACGTGAAAAAGAAGTCGGGAAAGAAGAAGAAGAATGATAACGCACGAACGCCCAGTTATAACTTAGAAAGGAAAGATATGACAAGGAAAATGGGGAAGAAAAGACACACGCCCGTGCCGTGCCGTGATGTGCTGTGTACGCCCGTAGTTGATCATGTCAAGCCGAAGCTAAGAGACTTTTATGTATATGCCGTTGAAAGATGGAGGGATCAGGGTCGATGTCGTAGAGAGACATGGACCCTGTATGCAAGTTGCGCCGGGAACGCTGAGAATTTTCCAACCTGGTTTCTTTTGGAGTGAGTGATGTAGGGGAAGAATGTCGTAGAGATGACGGTCGTGGGGTGAGGTGGGTGTCTGCAGGTGCTGAGTTGGCTCTGGGCGGTCGGGGTAGCTCTCCGCTGTGGTCGACCGTCGTGTCGGTCGCCAGCATCGATCGTTGTAAGGCTTCGTCCACCAACTCAAGCATTCCCACCCCAAGCACCCGCACCCGTCTCCTTGCCGAGCGCAGAAGTACCCGCCGTCCGATGACCGCCAACAGGAGCCAGGTTCGGGCTGCCCTTGCCTCCACTACCCCATGACAAACCACTCAAACGCTTGTTGCTGTTGCTAGAGGTAGTCGAAGCACCGTCCCTGCTCTTGTTCAGATCGTCCTCCTCTTCCATGCTAAACAGACCCTGCTCTTCCTCAATCCTCTCGCGGTTGATACTGCTGCTGCTTACAGCGCGATCGATACCGAGACGGCCGCTGGAGCTACCGATGCTGGATGCGGAGGTGACGCGGTTGATGCCGGGGTGGACGGGGTTGCTGGTGATGCCGCTTTCGTCCCGGGCTGATATACGGGTGCGCGAGAGTTGTTGGCTGATCATGCTCATTGAAGCTTGGCGCGGAGGTGAAGCGAGGTATGGGCTCATGTCGCCTGTAGTCGGTCGGTTCATGGCGCGAAGCGAAGGGCTGGCTCCTGGGTGGAGGCTTGAGTTGCGGAGGGGTGAGCCGACGTGTCCGAAGGCTGACTGGCCGGGCAGTGAGCCTGATTCAAATCCTCCGTCGTAAGTCGGGCCTCGGGGCTTGGCCCACATGGACTGGAATCGCGAGGGAGAAGCCGTGGCGGCTGATGGCGATCCGTACTTGAGGTCTGACGCTGTTGGCGAGACTCCGAACCTGGACTGCGAGGTGCGGTTGTCGCTCTCGCCCTGGTCGCGCGAGAAGCGGCGCATCTTCTCCTGTGGTGTCAGAAGATCGCTCAGCGAATTGGGTAGCAGGTCCTCCTCGAATTTGCCAATCATGTCCGTCTCATCCCATTCCTCGTCCTTGTATGTCGGTCGCGCGCCCACACTCGACGACATGATACCCCGAGAGCGGTTCGCGGCAAGCTCAGAGTGTAGCATCCTCCGTCCAACTGGCTGCTCTACCGACTCCGGTGGAGACGACCCAAGTCCTGCAATGCCCCTCCGCAGACCATCTCCAAACGCGGAGTCGTGTAGGTTTCGAAGCGCGGGCGAATCGGCTTGGTACGAGGAGGGCGGGGAGTTTGCGAGGAACTTGGCAGGTACGGAGGACGCAATGGGGCCGTATCGCGCCATGGTCGAGACACCTTGGCTGTCGAAAGACGCAGGAAGCCCTACATCCATTACACTCAAGCCCTTCTGCGTTGGTGATATCGGGAGTCGGCCGTTCTCGTTTGGCGGCGAGCCATAGTTGGAGCCTGGGTGGGAAGAGAAGGTCGTGTCGATAGTCGGGATCATGTCGTACTGGTTCTTCTGGTTCGCGTACTCGTCGGGCATGGCGTACGGGTAGCCTGGCTGCATACCGCCCATATGTGCCTGCATGGTAAGCAGCGAGCTGTTCATGGGCATCTCCTGGTGGTGTGGAATGTTCATGCGGCTGAAGTGATTACCAGCGTTTCCGCGGTTCACGACATGGCCGTTGGGGAGGATGTGGGCGAGGGCGCATTTCTGGCCAAACTTGCAGTTGCCCTAGGTATTGATTAGCGATGATTCACCCCCTCCCGCACATGTCTTACCTTGGTGAAGTACTTGCAGGGCGCCCGTTCCGTCAGCGGCTCATCAGAGTGCAAGAACGGACACGCCTTGCCCGCCTGACATGCGCCTTGCCGGTAGAACTTGCAGGGGACGTGTGAGGTGTTCTTGTTGTTTGGGGGGCTGCGCGGGCCGGCAAAGCCCATCTCGCGCAAGTTTGCCCTATGCTCGTGGCCGTTGGCGCGCCCACCCGGCACTGCCATAGGCCCATGGCCATTCGCGCCCGCCATTGCGCCGTTGGAGTGCTGGGGCCTGAGGTCGCGCGAGGCACGTCTGGCTATCTGCGGCGGGGGGTTCGACGACTGAGACTGAGGCGCGGAGGGCGGGTTGAGCTGATGGGAGAAGGGTCCGTGGTGTTGGAGATGCTGTGGTGGGGGCTCTTGGTGGGGTGGCTTGTCTCGGACGTCTGAGGGAAAATTGGTCGGCGCAAAGGTAGCCATAGCTCTGCAAATTGTGGTAGCGGGCCTCGGGCCTGGGTCGGCGGTCTACCTTCGGCGGAGCAGTGAGAGAATTTCCCTCTGAGCAGCGAAAGCCGAGAAAGAGACTGCTATCACCTGCACCCGTGAAGAGGTCAAGCTTGCCGCGCAAACGCTAGTATCTACGCGGTAAAGGCAGATGCGGCACGTCGCTTGAGGCGGGAACAGGACATGCGACAATCGAAGACGGGAAGACGAATGAGAGCTGCAGCGAGGTTTGGAGAAGGAAGAAAAAGGAAATTCAAAGCTATGCTGGAGAATGATACGCCGGCTATATCGATATGCGCGCACCGCGTGGAGCTGCAGCCTCAGCGGTTCGCGCGTGACATGGAAATCCGACGGCGCCGCGTGACGCCATAACAGGACCCTGGACGTCGACGAGGGAAGTCGCCGTGGAGAGCTGGCACCCACGCTACGCGTCGTTCCTTCCGTGGCTGGCTGCCGACGCGTCTTCGGATGCCCTCCAGCTCACATGGCACCTGCCGTCTGAAACACCTTGGAACACATCTCGGACGACTATTGCCGTGGACGGCCAATCGACGCGGATGGAGAGCTCACGCCTCATTGCAGCGCGACGGTCTAGCCGTCACCTGAGGCTTCATCACGGTCATCTGCAGGAAGAGTGGCGCATTTGATGTGGACTAACTGTATTCAACTCTCGTCTAGATATACTGCTCACCAAGATATACTATGCTAATCTTATCATCGCCGTCTCTGACAACATATCATATACCCGATGAGATGGCTTCAACCTCGCCACACCCTAGATCCACACTAGCTGTGTCCTATCCGTAGTATACCCGCCGAACAGGTGTTGTTGTACCATTCCATCTGCAGATCATCCATCATGTGCACTTGCGGTATACCCAGGTTGTATGTGTAAGCATTGAACTGGATACCCGAGAGCGCGCGGAAGTCATCGTTGAAGAAGATCTGAGTGAGGCGGCAGTTGATGTAGCCCCAGCATGCCGGGATAGTCGCGTTTTGTTCTGCGACTAGCACTTCTTGTTGGAGAGTGGTGTCATAGCGATAACCCGATATGCGCAATGTACAGGGTGTGAGGCCGTTGAGGGCACAGCCGAAATGAGCGGAGTACGCGTTGAACCAGTAGGCGTTGACTGAAGCTCGTGGCCCAGCCCCGAGTTCGCCGGGAAGCATCGTGCCTGCGAATGGCGTGTTGGGAAGGAGCCGCCCGGTCAGAGGCAGGAACATGGCGATGTTTGGTTGCGAGATTGCGGGGTATGGCTCCCACATATCAGGCACGTATGTGTATCCATTGCCGTAGAAGAGGTGGTGGTAGGGGTTCTTCATGCCGCTGGCAACGAGTAGTATAGTATTGTCATCATCGCCGGTGACTGTGTCATCGAAGGTCAGCGTGAAGTTGCCCGACTCGCCGCACGATGAAGGTCCTGGTGCATCGGGAATAGCCACGGTCGTTGTCGCAAGTATCGTTGTCTCTATAGTTGGACTGGGCACGACGATAGTGATTGGAATATCCTGACGCTTCGCAAGTGATGTTGTACCTTCATCCTCGTCTTCGAATACTGTCGTCACTACCGTTTTGAAACGTCTGGATCGGGAGGAGAAGATCTCAAAGGATGGCAGAGCGGAGATTGGTGTCCGGCGCTCAGTCCTTGTCGTCAAGGGTATGGTTTGCAGATCTGATGGCTCTGGTCCAGTTACCGTGGGGTATATTCCAGTCCAGTACGACGCGGTCGTTGAGATGTTGGGTGATGGGAAGACGAAGCTAATTGCGACATCCCCATACGATATTACCTTCGTCATAGCCCGAGCGCCAAACAAAGACGTGGCGTTGAAGCCTGGAGGGGCAGACGATATCGCTTGTGGGGGAGTAGTTGTCGTCAGCGTCAATGTAGAAGTCAGAGTGCTTTGCGAAACTGGGGTTGAGCCTGATAATGAGCTGGACGTGGTGGTGGCCATCGGACTGGAAGTCAATGTGCTTTGCGGAACTAGGCTAGAGCTTGATAGTGAGCTAGACACGGTGCTGACAATCGGGCTGGAAGCCGAAGTACTTTGCGAAACTAGCACAGAGCTCGATAGTGAACTGGACGAGGTAGTAGCGGACGGAAGGCTTATGCTACTACCAGACGACGAAGAGCTACCAGATAAAGAGCTAGAACCAACGGAAGAGCTCGTCACGGTGCTCGGACTCAACAGCGTAGAAGAGGTAGACGTCAAGTTGAAGCTCAGACTCGAGGACGAGTTCGTAATCGGGAATAGCGTAGCAAAGCCGGTGGAGGTATTTGGACCGGGTGTACTGGTTACGGGCTCATTTGGCAGACTCGACGACGGTGTAGAGCTGGATGTACTGATTGGAGTGGATGATGTAGTCAAGCTCGATAACGTCGTCGGTGCCGCAATGGAACTCCCGGTTGAGGGCGTCAAGGAGGGCGACGAAGTGGAACCTGTCGATGGCACGACGGAGGAGCTACCTGCACTGATGGGAAGAGTAGATGGAGCCAAGCTACTCAGCGAGAGGGATGTAGACGTGGATAGCGATTGAGTAAGACCTGTTGACGATGGTACTGTAGAACTACCGATACTGCTCGACAGGCTCATGGAAGTACTTGACGATATGTCGGCAGAGAGAGTCGGTCCTGAAGTGGGACTAGGTAGAGACACGGTGAAGCCATCGCTCTGTGTGGATGGGAAAACGAAAGAGCCTCCAGTAGTTGTCGATGTAGAACGACCGGGAGTAGCCGATCCACTGGATGGACCCAGAGACGTTGTAAGTGCACTTGAACCCGTTGGTACGTTCGAACCGGTTGGAAGCGCCGAAGGTGTTCCGCCAGGCGAGCTTGGGAGTGTGTTTGAGCTCAGACCCGACAGGGTGCTTGATGAGACGACTGACGAGAAGATAGAGCTGATGGTATTCGAGGGCGCGGAGACTGAAGACGGCAAAAGAATCGTAGAGAGCGTAGAGACGAAAGTAGACAGCCCGCTACTGATAGTGACAGCGCTCGTTGAAGCAGGATACGACGGGTAAGGTCTCTGTGGTTGATTGATAGGCCGAGGTAAGCTCGATGTCTCAGACGATGTCGGACCTGACGAAGTTGAACTTACAGACGACGAGACGAAAGGATCCGACAGAGACAGCGCAGACGTAGTTGATCCCAACACTGAAGACACGACAGCCGACCCAGAAGAGGGGATAGTCGTTACCCCCACCGAAGAAACAATCGGCGTAACATCCACCGTCCTAGTAGGCAGCGTACTGAACCGACTAGGCGGCGCAATACTGTCCAGCCACTCTGTCGTACTATTCACGACGGAAAAGTAGTACGTGCCTTTCGCAGGATTAGTCGGTGACGCACCAACTAGCGAAATGGTAATTATCGGTCCAGGAACAGTGACGTAGACGATGCTGCAGTTGCCATCGACGCCTTGAGCCGAGACACCAGGTATTGCGTTGAGTAGTATGTCCAGGGCTATGTAGCCACCGGCCACGACTATACCGACGAAGGCCAGTGTCAATATGAGGTCCTTGGAGGTTTGCTTGTCGGTCCAGCGTATTCGGGTTAGAGCGACGAAGAAGCGATAGATCCATTGTATGGTGCGACATGGCCACCAGTTCCGAGGCTTGAAGCCCCATCGAGGTCGGGCTGCGGTAGTAGCTTTAGGTTTGGACTGCCGCTTTGGACCTTCCCATGTACTTGAAATGACAGAGTCTCGTTTGTCTTCCGCGCCTTTGGTGCGTGAAATCGGAGGAGCGGGCGATGAACCGGGGGAAGAGCTGGATGGAGTTGTATCTTTGAGCGAGGTGATGGTAGGAACACAGAGCGTTTTCCCTGGGGGTTCTGTTGGAAGCTGGCGACGATCAGATGTATTGCTAGTGGATCTGGTTATAACCGCCCCGTGAGAAGATGTCCATGTCGAAGGGGTGCTTGAGCCATTCGTGTCGCTTATGGAGGTCTTGTCTTTCCTTGACTTGTCCTTGCTGCGGATCTTGTTCTTGCCCATGATGAGAGAGGAAATGTTGTTGCTATGATGCACTTGCGAAGATGTTGCTGATAGGCTGTTGTGCAATGATTGTGGTGCAAGAGGTATCCAAAAGTGCTGTTGTGGTGATGGAGGACAGTCATGAGAAACGCGTGTAATAAGTCCAGGTGCGTGGGGAGTGTACCTGCCATGATTGCGGTGAAAACAGAGTAAGCATAGGCTGTATATCGATGGCCAGAGTGAGGACGATGCGACATGTTTGCAAAATAGTTGGAAAGCGAGATGAATATTTGTTGACCGTTCTCGGCTCGGGAGTTCGCAGCAGTTGCGATCCAGAATGCAAGAACCCGCGCTTGACTGATCCCTCGCAGTTGACGCAGCTTGCTCATCACTGGAGTGAAGAGGCGAGGCGAAACAATTATTTGCGCTGCTTCTTCGAAGATATGTTAAACGTCTTGTGTGCGATGTGTGCAGTAGTCTCGGTCAAAACTCCCAGTCACCAGATTGGTCCGAGAATACTAGTGATTTGGCGTCCTCTAACGTCGACGCTTCCAAAATTAAGCTCTTATCTCCCACATTCTGATATGTCCAGCTTCGTTGGCGACTGCTAGTTGCGCGAGACTACCTTCTCTCTCCTCCTCTTCGCTGGGCCTTCCCCATGCGACTGCTGTGATTCTGCCAAGCGGTGTCTTCTCGGTAGGCCAATTCTTGAAGACGGTTGCCGATGGAAGGTGCACCAGCCTCATTGCGTTGTTCTTCCATTGACTCGCCATGGCAAGTACTTGACCGTCCGCGGTGAACGTGAGATGCGAAATCGGCGTCGTGAGGTTCTGCAAGTCGCGTATCGGCTTCGGTGCCTTCGGGATACCGCCATTCGAATCGTCTTTGGCAGGCTTGACTGAAGGGTCGTTCTCGCTCCATGCTCGCCGGTCGTAGACGTTCACAACGCCACTTGAACTGCCAATGGCCACCCATCGATCGCCACCTATCCAGCTTTCACGTCCGCTCTTGCCACCGAGTGCGATGACTGTAGTACCCACAGCACCCTCGTCGTTCCATCTTCCTATGACGCCTCCTTCGACGCTCCATTCCGTGATCTCTCCGTTCTTGCCCGCAATGCTCATACCAGTGCCGTCACCCCACCATGCGAAGTCAGCAACACCACCTCTTGACTCGACGCGCACCTGTGTCGACCACTGCAGTGTCCTTGCATCCAGAATATTGATAACACCGCCGCCCTTTCTCGAGGAACCCCGAAGAGCCATGTATTTGCCGTTCGGTGAGAGGGAGAAGTTCTCCATTGTCCGTTGTTCGTGCTGGTGACCGTACACACGCGACACCTTCTCCACTCTGCCGGTCGCGATATTCCAGACGTGGAAGTAGCGGCGTCGCGCGCTGAGGAAGATGCGCGAGTCGGAAGGTGAGGGATGGAACGCGGTGGTAACTAGAGGAGTCTTTTTGATGTGCAAAGAGGTGAGGAGAGGGTTCGGGTTCGGCGGGTTGGGGTTGACGTGGTGAAGGTATAGTGTTGAGCTAGGACCGGAAGAGAGGAGCAGCGGGTATGCAGGATGGAAGGAGAGAGACGTGATGGCAGACTGTAGTGGCTGTCAGTAAGAGAATTCTATACAATGGCGTCGCAATACTCACCGGGCCAGCCTTAGCGACGTCTTTCAGTCGCTGAATGTCAATGGTGCCTGCTTGCACCTTCCTCCGCTTGGCCACGCTTCGTGAGGTTTGTGACAGGATATCCGCATCCTTGAGTAGCTTCGCCAATGGCTGTGTAGACAGATCCTCTTCGTCCACGTCCATGTCGCTCGCAGACTCATCGCCACTTTCGTCGTCATCCATATCCCGTCGGCGCTTCTTGTTGGCTTTGCCTGTCGCATGTGCCGCCCACTTTGGCGTCGGGTATAGCCTCTGGTACTGCTTCCGTAACCGCCGCGCATATTCCTTGCCGTTGACCATGTCGTCATCCGCCGTCTCTCGCAGCTTCCTCAGTTGCGGCACCGACGCCAAGCTGACTACAAGCCTCTCGTCATCGCTGTCTTCCCAGGCGGGCTTGCCATCATCCTCATCTGATTCTGCTGCCTTTGCAGCCACAGAGCCCGCAGGCGCAGCGACTGGGCCAGCATCGAAGAAGAAGAGGTCCTGGTCTGCTACAGCGTCAAGGTCGGCCTCTTCTGCTTCGGATTCATCCGATGAGTCGCCGTATGCGTTCGTCGCAGGATCGAGCGAGAAGTTCTCCAGGCCCTGACGGAAGCCTTCAGAGTCGCCAAAGATCATGCGCTCCAGTTCTTCTTCCTCAGCATCCTTCGGCAGGACAGGCTTTTCCTGCTTCTTCTCCGTCTGGATGTATATGCTCCCATCATCGCTTTCGTCGTCCTGAGCTCCGTTGTCTCCAACCTCCTCCTCTGTGCCAAACCCCTCAAAGTCATCATCCTGGGGTTCCTTCACCGGCTGCAGTGCGCCTGCTTTTGCATCGTCGTCTGAGCCCTCGAGTTCGGACTGAAATCGCGCAGGGTCTTTCGCTTTCTCGGGTGCGTAGCGCTGGTGACCACCAGACTTGTGTGGAATCGTCTTTGCGGGCGCCATTGTGGTTTATCGTGAATGTGCTGGAAGAGCTGCAGGCGCGCGATCGCAAAACTGAGGGAGAAATTGTTGCAGGGATGACCCTGGTACACGGTAGGATTAGGCGAGCCTCCGCAGTCAGCACCTTGCAACACCACCACTCGCGAACTCAGCATGTAACACAACAACACCATAGCATCATGTCTGAACTTGAACTGAAACAGCGTGAGTGAATAGTGACGAATCAAAAATCTTGAAATGCGGTACACTCAACAGACATGTCGCTGCAAGCGAGTAATTGAGCTCTAGATCATGAGCCCCGCAGGAAACTACCTCCAGGGCTGCATCATCCATTGATGGCCACGTAACCAGGCCATCTTGTCAGCTCCTTTGCGTGCAGGCTGTAGAATGATAAGTACACCACTCTTTTTCTGGGTAAGAAGAATCATATCCAATCTCCAACCCATCGCTTCGGACTTCTATTGGTTGACTACTCCGATTCCGACAGGCATGCCGGGGACGCCAAACGCGGAAGGTATGACTCTGCCCTAGGCAAACACATCACTACATAAGTACACGCAGTTTCCTAGATTAATTTCTCAGTACCACTCCATACGTTTCACTGTCAAGTAGTGTCTTTCGTCTGTGTCCCACAGAGTCTTCCAACCATCAACATGCCAGACCCCAAGCTCACAGTCTCGCTTCTCAAGCCCGAAGAAGCAGAACAATACATGCGCATACGTCACGAAGTCTTCCGGCCAACCGTCAACAAGATTCTCTACGCCCGCGGCGAGCCATCTCAGGAGACCCTCGACAAAGTGACAGAAGACATCCGCGATGGCATAACCAACAAGGGCATACTCTACGTCAAGTGCGTCGACACCTCGACCGGCGAGATGATCGCAGGCGCACGTTGGCGCTACGTCAAGCCCAAAGAGGACGGCGCGAAAGAACGTACCTGGGAGGAAGTCGATGCCGGTCTCACCGTCCCACCACCATACGAAGAAAGTGACCCGGAGATGTTCGCGGAACTCTTCAACTTGTTCAACTCGAACAAGCGGGAGATTCTAGGAAGGAGACCTTACTATGTGCTAGACACACTGGTTACATTGCCGCAACATGGAAGGAGGGGGGCGGGAAGTATGCTGGTACGATGGGGCTGTGAGAAGGCGGATGAGGCTGGTGTTGAGGCGTTCCTAGAAGCGAGTCCCATGGGTGCGCCCATGTATGCGAGACATGGATTTCAGCCTGTGAAGACGGTGGAATTGGATTTGAGGAGGTGGAGTGGAGAGGACAAGATGGAGTTTATTGTGAGTCTACACTCGTGCTTGAGATCGTTGTTATACGTGGCTAACGTTGTGGTAGCTCATGCTGCGTCCTGCAAAGCAGCAAACATGATGATTTGGATCATACTGGTCGAGAGCATCTTGCTGCTCGGCATCAAAAGAGTGCAGACCGTAAACAGAACACATTGTGACTATTCGTTGCGAATTTCACTCATTTCACTAACTGTTGTCTGTCAGGACACTGCACGTGAATGCCACTATATGACACGAAGCCTTCGGTATAGTTACTAACACCAGACTACAACCTATCAAAAAACCTCACAACTCGTTTTTTTTAGCACCAGCTAAGTCGCAATGGCATCAATCCAGCCGATCTACACCATCACAGCCACCCTAAAGACTTATGAAACAGAAGACGTCGAGTCGCCCGACCCAGAAGATGAATGCTACGTATGCATGCGTCCATTCAATTCCATCGACAACGAAGACGACCCTACCGAACTTCCTTGCAAAGCCGTGCGACTCTTACCCTGCGGGCATCTCATTGGCAGCGAGTGTCTCAAGACGACGACTTTAAAGTTCAACATGACAAACTGCTCTCTCTGCGCAGTTCCTCTCGCCGTCAGATATGCGAGCCGCATGGACTACGCAATGTGCTGTCTGTTGACGAATTTCTGCACCGAGACATTTATCGACTACGCACTGCTGGTTGGATCCGTACTCGCAGGCCCGCAGGTCGCCAGCGTCCCTCTGCTACGTCGATTACATACACCAGCCCACGACCAGAAGATGGCGCTACTCTCACACGCCTTCTTCGCACGACAGTTAACATGGGCAGACGCTTTCTCGTTGTGGCTTTGTTACATGAAGCTGGTCTTGGTACCTTTGGGGGGCGCGACACTAGTTTTCCTGTTGGTAGGTCTTCTGAAGAGCCTGGATGATCTCTATGGTGCTCCCATTGAGATGTTTTTTCTCTCCGCTCTGCTGGGCACGAATTGCAGGACATACTTGTCCGAGACTGCCATGCGTATGGTCGTCCAGGTTCTATGCATCGTGACCGAGACGAGTGGTCAGGTCGCTATGATACGACAGCCGAGGCATCAGAACAAGCTCCTTGCCATGAGGGGTGCCGCGTTTTGTAGGGAGGTTTTGATGATCTTGGGTTGCGATGCTTGCCTTTTTGTGGGCGGTTTGTTAATTATGAGCAAGACGTTGGATTTTATGGTAATGGCTGTTGACGTTGCGATGCTTATTTCGTATGGGCTGAGGCGGAGAGGGAAGATGTTCAGGTACGCGTGCGGGTTCATGCTAGCGGCGGTGCTGCTCTGTTTGACGAATTGCCTTCGCATGATCTCCATCGGCGAAGTTCCGCAGGCGCAGTTGAGGTAGTCGCGATGACGTCACAAATGGTAGCCAAACGCGATATCTTTCGCCGTCAAGACTGGCCTCTCTAGCACTCACGGTTCTGCTGAGGGTATTGAAGCTACATCAACGACAAGATAAAGCAAATATCTTTGTACCCAAATTGTGTGATTCTGTTCTTAGTCCTAAGAGTCCTTCAGCCTTTGAGCAAGTGATCGTCGCAAGACTACTACGCTGCTCGCAGTCGACGGCCAGTCTTTACTTTAAAAGGTCTATGGGAACTACAATAGCCTGGACTCACAATACGTGCATGCGCGTCATCGACGCGGGTGCGCACATCGCCGCGCTCCTCCATCCCTGTAAAGCTTACTAGAGGCGGGCTCATCTCTCCAGCGCCACATGTTTGCCTGGTGTCATCTTCACGCTCACCATCACCATCACAGATCAATGAGCGGAAAGTTATCGCTGCCTGCGCTCCGCAGGCAATTCGATTATCGCCGTGGTAACGACATCGGTTTAACGCGTGAAGCTGGGATGAGACCGGCTGCGCGAGCGACTCCCCACCCGCTTTAGGCGACAGTAAACAGCGGTACCAAACAATCTGCGACCAGCAATACCTTTCCATGTGAGCTCGTAGCTCTCGTGACGCCCATGGTCACACATTGCCCGCTGTCAGTACCCGTGTTGATTAACAACCCTCTGACCCCACACCACATCAAAGCCATGGATCTCCCAACTGAAGCGACCACCATCCGCAAGGTCGTCCCCAAGACGCCGCAGGTCAAAACATCTCAGGTCTTCGACAAAGAAAACCACGCCCCTCCAACACCATCTAAGCCCAAGATCAGAGAAACCAAGCTTGCGCTCAATGACGAGACCTCAGACTTCACCATCATCTGCGAAGGCCAGCATTTCATCACCCATAAGAGCATCCTGGAAGCCTCTTCGCCTTATTTTGCGCGCATGTTCCGCTTCAACGGTAGTGTGAGTATTGTCAACCACATTGACATACCTGCCGTGCTAAACCACTGCAGGAGAACAATGATAAAGAAGTACAGATACCCGACGTCGACACCATCACCATGAAGCACATCCTAGACTACATGTACACATCAACCTACCAGTTCCCCGGCGGCGAGACTGTCCACCCCACAGCCTACTGTAACCACAGTACCTACGCCCTCCTGCACGGTCCCCCGACCGCTCCCCAGATCTTCAAGCGCAAATGCCCATGTGCCGGCAAGACGCTGTCTGCCTCGCACCTCCTCAAGCACGTACGCATCTATACGGTTGCCGACTACTTCGACATGCTCGACTTGAAGACCTTCGCACGACAGGGCGTCATAGACGTTTTGCATGTGTACTGGCAGTATGAGGGGCTGGATCTGGCTGATGCGCTGGAAGAGGCGTTCACGTCGACGCTGGATGATGACAAGGGGATTAGGGATGTGCTTGTTGATGCGATGAAGATGCATCCAGGACTGGTGGTTGATGAAGGGGATGTGGAGGAGTGGTTGGAGGATCATCCTGAGGTGAAAGCGAGGGTGAACTGGGACTGAGGAGAGCAGTAAGATGCACTTGGATGGCATCATGAGTTCATGAGGCTACTGAGGCGAAAGAGTGGATAGACAGCTAGTGAGTGTACATCAAGCTTCGATGCCGCGGTATCGCTTGGAAGTACCTAATCAACTCATGCCGACCTCATGTTCGGGATCTGCTACGTTCAACCCCTCAACAGGAAGCTTGACGATCGGCTAACGAAGCTTATCCGCTCGCGGTCGCAACGTCCGGCGACCAATCCCCGGCGGAATACCTGTCAGCACGTCAGCACCCCTACCCACAACCCTCAATCTACAAAAACATACCAGTACCATTCATCCCACACCCATCTACAAAACACGCACTCGCCGTATGGATGTACCTAATCCTCCCCTCTTCAACCCGAAACATATGACTATCCGGCGCCCCCTCCGTATTCCTCGTGCGATCCAGCCCCGTAAAGCCCATAAAGATATCCACAACACCCATCACCTCATCAACAACATACTTGCGATTAGTCATGGGGATATGTTCAGGCAGCCCACCAATATCGCACGTATTTGCTGAGAGATTCCCACGACCGGTATACGCACCACCTTCGAGACGGGCGCAGGGGGTGCCGAAGGGGACGTGGACGGAGACGTCGTTGCAGCGGTCGGCGTAGGCTTCACCGGCTGCTTTGATGGTCTCGCGGGTGTCGCGGCTGGATTCGGGAATGGGGTTCCATGTTTCTTGGCTGTTCCAGTGGGAGGTGCCGGTTGCGTTGAAGGCCCAGTCACCTGCGTCGGTTACGATGCTGTCGATGAGGTTTACGTTGCCTTCGGGGTCTAGGGTCATCTGCGTGTGCATGACGTATGGGTGCTTGGTGTCGGTGACGATGAGCTCGGTCATTGTCTTGCATTGTGTGGTATCGAGGATGGAGCGATGGGTGTCAATGGTTAGACCGAAGGCGGGTACGCCGTTGAGAAGTGAGGCGGTTACGTTGTTTTCGAAGTATTTCATCGTGTAGGCGATGTTTTCGAATCGGTCGTGTTGGCCCGTTGCCATTAGATCCACGTAGGAATCTGCTGTGCTCTGGAGGTATTCGCGGGTGCAGTCGAAAGCCATGGTGGACGTCGCCATCGAAGCCAGGGTAAAGAGAAAAGCCATGATGGTTGTAGCGATCGTGGTGTGTCGACAGCGAGAGTTCACTGGCCTTTAAAGCATCTGATGCCCAATATCGTAGCAGACTGTAGAATTTCGAATGAGATGGATTCCGCGTTCCTGGATTCTATGGACGAATAGTAGTGATGCATGGGCGTCTGGTACTCTTAGCCGCATTGATGAAGGGTGTGGGGCACTCCGGCATTGAGCATATATCGCCTGAGTCTCGTGCAACCCCACACGATCGTTGTTAGAATATATTGGATTCTTCTGCGATCGCTGAGACACGTTCAGAATGCTCCAGATGATGTTGCAGCGAGATCGCAGATGCGCCGTCCAGCGTCGCAAGCCATTGTTCATGATTTATCTTCACAACTCTTGCTTCCTGACATCCGGCAGGTGATAGCAATTCCTCAGTCGGCAGGCAACCCACGAAGCCTCGCACACATTCTTGCAATGCTCTTCATCCCAGTCGTCCAGGTAGTCCCACAATGTGTTCATCGATGCAGCCTGTGTAACGTCAGTACATGACCATCTCGATGCGGCCATTGGAAGATACATACTATTTCTTGTGGTGATGGCTTGCGAGATACGTAGTCGGTGTCCAATTCGGAATCGGCTTGCACTGACTGCGGCGAGCTGTGCTGCTGGTCTTCCGCTAGAAGCGCGAACGCGTAATAGACGCTGTATATCAGCAGAGACGAGAGGACGAGTACCAGCAGAATATGCGCGACTCGAAAGAGCAGCTTCATCGCAGGTTGCGCGGCGGTCTCGGCTCAGTCAGGCTGCTGTGGATTGTTCCTGGTGGGATCTCATGAACCACGAGATGGTTGGGTGGCCGAGCGCGCTAGCGCGCTTCCCGCTCTCAGGCCCTGCCACGCGTCTTCGCAGTACTTCCTTCTTTCACCCTCCCAACACTTTCATCGCAAATAACAATCACACAGCAAGCGTATCGCGAAGCAAACTGTTATTCACGCGAATATCGCCAGATTCCAGCCATGATCGCGTCCACACTTACAACGTCGCCACACGCGCGTTCCGCTTCGACGCGTCCAGAATCTGCTACATCTCCAAACACTACCTGATAATTTCCTATACATGACCGGAGTTGATATACTGATCTGCGGAGCTGACTGCACATATTTGAGAAGGCGAACACAAGAACATATACCTTCATCCGTCTGGTTTGGAACTCTGCTAACAATGCAACAATGGGAACCGATCCGGTAATAAGTATCATTCACTTTATAGAGCGGGTGAAAGTTGTTCTATACCGACAATGGTTTCCAACCGGATGTGTTTTCACTCGACACTCGACAGGTGCCGAAGCAGAGCACGAACCAATCGAGCCTCCACGACTGTTCCTGCTGGGAACTTCTCTGTCTATATAATGCAGCGCTCCCTTGGTCTTATATCAACTACAGCCGTTCTGCAACTCTCAACGGCCGATCAACCTTCAACACTTTCATACGCCAAGCGCAGTACGCTTTCCTATTTTTCTGATAGTGAGCTATCGGCCTCACAAATAGTTCAGTCAAAACGTTTTCAACAATGAGCGATGATAGCTGGGACGACGATGACCGCCGCCATGAATCCCGCCGGAAGACGAAAGATCGAAGAGCGAAGAATGAAAAGAACTTCCTCGAGACGTTGATGGACTCATCAATCGAGAACAGCATGAACAAGCCACTGTTCAAAGCTATCAAGGTCTGGATCGATTGCAACATAGGCATAGACCTCACCTATCTGGTTTGGGCTATTGCTTTATGCATCCCCGCTCGCACATACGGCAAGGCAACATACGACTGGCTCAGTTCGAACCTCACAAACTCACTTGAGCTCGACAGTAGCGATGCGCTGGTCACCGACCTTTTGATGTGGATCAGCAAGCAACCGTCCAACCAGCTGTTCGCCTGGCTTCCGACTTTCGAGCATCTGGAGTGGAAAGATTTGTCGCATGAACAAAAAACCGCCAACAATGATGAGAGCAACTCTCACCATCTCATAGCTTCTGCTGGCTACACTCCTTTCTTCCACGAAGGCGTACCATTCCTGCTGTACAAACCGGATGGCCGATCCTACGACAAACTCACGTTACGCTGCATGTGGGGCAGTAAAAAGCCCATCGAAGCCTTGCTGAAAGCCGTTCATAAGACTGTCAGCGGCCAGATGACGTCCCTGACTGTCCGTTACGTCTCTGCCCATCGCAACGTAGACCGTACTTCGAGGAAACGCAGTCTTGAGACGATTGACATGAACCCACTCAAGAAACAAGAGCTTCTGACTGATCTCCAGGCGTTCTTTGCCGATGGGACGGAGGACTATTACTACCAGAATGGAACGCCATACCGGAGAGGTTACTTATTCTATGGTCCGGCTGGCACAGGCAAGACCAGCTTGTCTACCGCAATTGCGAGTCATTACAATTTGCCGCTTTGCGTCATCGACCTTGCAGGCATGGACGACACCATTTTGCAGAACGATGTGAAGAATCTGCCCGCTCGCTGCGTCATCCTCTTCGAAGACATTGACGCTGCGGGTATTGTCCGTGAACGCACCATGGCGCTGCCGCCTTTGGAAGAACAAGAAGATAGTGACGAAGAGGAGGAGGAGGAGGAGAGTAGTTCAGAGTCCATCAGCTCATGGAATGCAAGGCCGAAGAAGAAGAAGCGTAGGAATGTGGATTCTAGAAAGAAGAAGTCGCCGCCTCCGCCGCCTCCCCCGTCGAGGACAAAGGTCACTCTAAGTGGTTTGCTTAACACTCTAGATGGACCTGGATCGCGAGAAGGCCACATCGTCATCTTGACAACAAACGCTCCCGATTCATTGGACGAAGCTTTGTATCGCCCAGGTCGTGTAGACACCCAAGTGTATCTCGGTTTCGCTGATGACATCACTGCTGGCATCACATTCACACGCATCTTTGGCAGCGATAAGCAGGTAACTGTGCCGCGGAAAGAGCTCAACCGCATGGGCCGTCGCTTTGGGCGCATGATACCCTCCGACTTCTTTACTCCCGCTGAGATTCAGAAATTCTGCATGAACAGACGTGGTCAGCCACAAAAGGCACTCAACGAGTTTCCCCAGTTCATCGACGAAAAGCGAACGGGAAAGACGAACTTCCAGTACGACATCCACCGACGTGCCCCGCAACCCACGTTTCAGAAGAAGGAAGACGTACGGGACGATGACTCTAGCGGTGTGGGTCAGGACACTCCCAGCAGTACTGATGGGTCTGTTGAAGACGTCAAACCACTGACACCTGGGTCGCCCCATGTATCATCAACCAAGTTACCTTCTCCAGCACGGCAGAGAAAGCGCGCAATAGAGCAGCTGCACATCACTCATAGCCGTTACCCGCATGAAGACGACGCCTTGGCTTACGGCGATTATCATCCGAGACGAGGTCAACGAGTTTGGGAGGATCGTCTGGCCGACAGCGTCGCCGATGCGTGCCAGGAAATCAAGGGGTTCTTCACTGAATCACGGCATCCGTCGCACAAGAGCAAATTGCGTGCAGGTCGGATTGAAGAGATGACTATGCCCAGTTTCGAGCCACGCATGACCGCGCCGTCACCACTCACTCAGTCCAACCTCGATGCAATGTCGCTTGACGAACCTCCAGCGGCATCACCATCTCCGATGGACTTAAGAGACACATCTGTATACTATACGCCTCTATCGATTGGCGAACAGATTGAGAAGACTTTTGAGCATCATCGCCGGCCCAGCTATCCAGATGTAGATGGTCGTCGTAATGCCTACCCGTATCACGGGCCCGTGACGGAAGCAGCCGAAGGTAACGCCTGGGAGGATGAAGTCTCGCCGGCGCCTGATACAGTGTCACTTCGCAACCTAGACCCGCAGCCGTTAGAGGATTTCGAGCAGCGCTGGAACTGAGAAACAGCGCAACAGAGCCCGAAAGTTGTGGAGTTGCAAGTGGCGGGGCGAGGCCACGTCGCCGTATACTTGTAGGGTTAGAAGGCTCGGTGTTATTACCCAATACTACATGGCATAACTGGAATCTGCAATTTATTACAGCACCGAAAGTTGGCAAAGCGATGAGTAACTAGCAATAGGAGGGCATACAGTGCCATGTTGACAGATGAATGAAGTGGGGTTTCAGCAGACTTGCATCTTAAAGGAAGACTTTCGGGGAGAGGTGGCACTTGCTTTGGACAAGATCGCAATCTGCGCCAAGTCGCACCAAATGTAGTGCATTTCATTACATTTCTCCGCGTTACGCGATATTCTTAGTGGCCGTCGAAGAGGATCTTCGCATTGTGCAATGCTCTGGTGATGACGCATTATATCCTTGCTTCGTGGCCTGCAGCCCCAGTTGCTAGACGGTTGTGACAAGACTGCATAAAGATGCCGGTAGTCATGATACCCGACTCGATATGCAGAAGTGTAGCAGCCTTACCAGGAACAACTTGTTGACAGTTGGGCTGAAACGGTGCCGGGGAATATCGGACGCTTTTGGGCGCGCAACCCTTTGACACTTGGAAAGACGACTAGAAAATTCATAAGGGTCTCTTGATGGTCTGAGGGAAGTATTTGAGCGTAAAAAGACTACGATGTTTGTAGCCGTTGTAGAAATAGAGCCAAGATATGTAGGAACTGTGTCTGATACATCAGCTTAGCCCACGTGATATCGCATTTAGAAGCACCATGATTGGGTCGGAGGGGCCATCCGTACCAGCGACACTACTCCTGCACCAGCACGATTCCGTACAAGACGTCTGGACACAAACCTGCTTATGCAAGTCAGTCACTTTCACCCAGGGTCATCCCGCTCGATGATACGCCGAACTTAGACTATCACTGTCCATCGATCCTTCCACCAACGTTACAGTAGCTGCAGATAGCGCCGGGAGGACTACACGTCCTGTACGTGAGTGTAAATCGCTTGGCGATGAGGGTATAGACCGTATGTATCCTTGCTTCTTCGGTGCGAAAAGATAGCACCGGGAGGACCACACGTCCTGTACATGAGTACATATCGC